ATTTTCAGTAGAGACTGTGTTTCACCGCATTGGCCAGGCTGGTCTCAAACTCCTCACCTCAGGTGATCCACCTGCCTCGGCCTCCCAAAGTGCTGGGATTACACGCGTGAGCCACCGCGCCTGGCTGAAGAAGAAGGAACTTTCTAATAGCCTAGAAATGTCCTCTGTCAGTCAACGTGGGAACTCAAGAGCTGTAGCAAGTCCAACGCTAGGCCAAAGGCAAAGTGAAAATCTCTCGGACTGAGGGTTAGGAAAACACAGACCCAATACCTGCACAGACTACTTTGAAGGAGGCACCGACAATGCAGATCTCCTGTGCTCACACATGTATTTCCTATCCCTTTTGGATAGGAAATACATCTTTTGGATTTCATCCAAAAGATGAAATCGCCTACCTATCTGCCCTGATAATTTGCAAATCGGATCAAACCCATTGATTCAGAATCTTGACAAATCATGAAGAGATCCTCCATTGCACAGATGTAGAGGGCAGCCCCTGAGTTCCTAACAAGGCCATTCGGTTATGGCCAAGACAATGGAAAGCTCCAGTTCTCTGCATCTTTTTTTTTTGTTGTTCTCCAATTACTTTCAATGTATGGAGCTTTCAGGCTATCCCCACCAAATTTTTGTTGTCATTGAACAAAGAACAATTGAATGAATCTCTTGGAGAAGGAGTCCTGCAGGTTAACTGAAGGTTAACCGAAGACATTCTGAAGTCCAGACCCAAGGACTCTGCCTCCTGCCTCATCAGTACATATTGCTCAGTCACAATGTCTTGCCTAAAAGCAAAAATGCCCAGTTGCTAGTTAACTGTTCCCATCCGGGATCCAAGTGTCAGAAGAGGCCCTCACTCAGTAGGTCACATCTCAAGACTGACTCTGAGGCAGGGCGCGGTGGCTCACGCCTGTAATCCCAGCACTTTGGGAGGCCGAGGTGGGTGGATCACGAGGTCAAGAGATCGAGACCATCCTGGTCAACACGGTGAAACCCCGTCTCTACTAAAAATACAAAAAATTAGCTGGGCATGGTGGCGCGTGCCTGTAATCCCAGCTACTCAGGAGGCTGAGGCAGGAGAATTGCCTGAACCCAGGAGGCGGAGGTTGCGGTGAGCCGGGATCGCGCCATTGCACTCCAGCCTGGGTAACAAAAGCGAAACTCCGTCTCAAAAAAAAAAAAAAAGACTGATTCTGGAGTACACTTCTTGCACTAGGCCAATTAAGAGAGCTGGGAACAACCAGACTCATAACCTCTAGAGACAAAGACTCAGACTTTTCTGGAATCCTACAGAATGTTTTGCCACCAGGCTGTTCTCGTTAGCATTTTGAAACACTCATTCTACTTTAGAAATAAAGGGCTGACGTCCTCAAGGAATTTTGACAGACGTGAGCATACGCCAAAGACTCGGCCAAACCTGTGCATCCTACATAATTCATCACGCTCAACAGTGCGGGTGGTGGAGGACAGGCCCGTGGGCTGCCACTCTAAGCCTCTAAACCAGGGACAGGGTGGTTAACCCAACAAGATTCATTACCACCACTGTCTAGATAGACTGCAAAGTTCAAAGAAAAAAGGATGCCTATGGAAGAGGACATAACAAACCACTATCCATACAACATGGGAGAACACAGCCCTGCCTGAAAATTGGGTTTGAGTCAGAATTACACAAGCCAGGTACTTGGCTAAGCTCTGAGAATGTAAAGGCAACATCTAGGAGAGAAAAAGAAATGTGTAAACACCGCAGTCAAATAAAGCATGACCAGGGCTCTGATGCAAATCTAGCCCAGACAGTCTCCCTGGAGGCCCTAATGCTTCCGTCGTGCTTTTAAAAAAAACAGTAGGGATTTGCCAGGCATTGCAGGCCGATGGAGCAGGTATGGTGTTTTGAAGCAGAAAGAGCTTTTAGGGAAATGTGAGGCGTTCCACATAGCTAGAAGCAGGAGAGGTAGGCAGGGGGCCAATTCTGAAGGGCACTGTATGTTGCCACAGAGTCTGAGTGTTATTAGAGGTTGGTGTAAAAGTAAGCACAGTCTTTGTCGTTACTTTGAATGGCAAAGACTGTGATTACTTTAGCAGCAACCTAATAGTTCTGGGGCAATGAGGAGCTTTTTCACGATTTGTCAAAATTTCAAATCAAGTGATTTGATCACATTTACATCCCAGAAAGATGACCAGTTGGTAGAAGCATGGGGTAGGGGGCTCCATTAAGAATGAAGTTGGCTGAGCATGCTGGATTTACATGCTGGCTCACGCCTGTAAATCCAGCACTTTGGGAGGCAGATCCAGGTAGATCCCCTGAGGTCAGGAGTTCAAGACAAGCCTGGCCAACATGGCAAAACACCTTCTCTACTAAAAATACAAAAATTAGCTGGGCATGGTGGTACATGCCTATAATCCTAGCTACTGGGGGGTGGGGTGAGGCAGGAGAATCGCTTGAACCTGGGAGGCGGAGGCTGTAGTGAACCGAGATCATGCCACTGCTCTCCAGTCTGGGCAACAGAGCAAGACTTCGTCTCAAAAAAATAAACAAAACAAAAAAAACACTGGCATGATGTTTCACACCTGTAATTTCAGCACTTTGGTTGGCTGTGGAGGGCACATCACCTGAGGTTAGGAGTTTGAGACCAGCCACAGTCAACATGGTGAACTACTAAAAATACAAAAAATTTGCCAGATGTGATGGCGGGCACCTGTAATCCCAGCTACTTGGGAGGCTAAGGCAGGAGAATCGCTTGAGCCCAGGAGGCAGAGGCTGCAGTGAGCCGAGATGGCATCACTGCACTCCAGCCTGGGCAACCAGTGCAAAACTCCATATAAAAAAAAAGAAGTGATGTTTAGAGGGCCATACAATAGTGCAGGCAAAAAACTGGAAAGGTTTACTTAAGGCCAGGATTAAAGGGGTAGAAAAAGGGAGAAGGGAATCAGAAATATGGAAAGAGAAAAAACCTACAGAAAGTGCTGGCTGACTTGGAAAATGGGATGAGGGAGGAAGAGGGGAGTGTGATGAGTCCTTAATTAAAAGTCTGGTCTGAAGATAGTGAGCTATCTCGACTGACTGTTCAGTTACACAACTTGTTCTACTCCTTCTCCCTTCTCACTAATGCACTTGATTGGTCTTCAAAAAAAAAATGAAGAGAAGGAAAAGAAAAGAAAAGAAGAGCCGGGCATAGTGGCTCACGCCTGTAATCCCAGCACTTTGGTAAGCTGAGGTGGGCAGATCACGAGGTCAAGAGTTCGAAACCAGGCTGGCCAACATGGAGAAACCCTGTTTCTACTAAAAATATAAAAATTAGCCTGGGGGCCGGGCGCGGTGGCTCATGCCTGTAATCCCAGCACTTTGGGAGGCCGAGGCGGGTGGATCACGAGGTCAAGAGATCGAGACCAACCTGGTCAAAATGGTGAAACCCCGTCTCTACTAAAAATACAAAAAATTAGCTGGGCATGGTGGTGTGTGCCTGTAATCCCAGCTACTCAGGAGGCTGAGGCAGGAGAATTGCCTGAACCCAGGAGGCGGAGGTTGCGGTGAGCCGAGATCGCGCCATTGCACTCCAGCCTGGGTAACAAGAGTGAAACTCCGACTCAAAAAAAAAAAAAAAAAAATTAGCCTGGCGTGGTGGCACACGCCTGTAATCCCAGCTACTCAGGAGGCTGAGGCAGGAGAATCGCTTGAACCCAGGAGGTGGGAGTTGCAGTGAGCCAAGATCACACTACTGCACTCCAGCCTGGGCAACAAAGCAAGACTCCATCTCAATAAATGAATCAATGAATGAATGAAGAGTCCCAGGTTCCTGGCTTGGGTGACTGGGTAGGTGGGTGAGTGGGTGGATAGATGATTGATAGATAGATAGATAGATAAATGGAGAGTCCCAGGATCCTGGTTTGGGTGACTGGGTGGAGGAAGAGATGGCAGCAGAGGTGGCGGCTGGGAGTATGTGGCTAGCAGTGCTCAGGTGACAGTGACACTCTTCAGCCGGAAAGTGATGGTGGAAGCCACTCAAGTGAATGGGGCCACCATCCAGAGGAATCCTCAGAGCAAGAGGACCAGCAGTTGAGGTGACACCTCAAGGAGCACCAATGAGCAAGGGGGGAAGAGTGGTGGGAGAGCCAAACAGACCAGGAAACAGACGGGGAAGGCAGAGATGAAGGGAACCAGAGAGGGGTGATAGGAGGGAATGGCTTTTGAAAGGGAGTGGTCAAGACTGTATGACGCTGGGGAGAGGTGAGGTAGGAACTCCCGAGAGCCGTGGACTTAGCAACACACAGATCATGGGTGCCCTCTGTCAGCCAGTCTGGAGAAGAGGTGGGGGCAGACCAGCCAGGGTGAGGGGAGTGACCGGGAGGTGGGGACGGAGGCAGTGAGCACAGACACTTCCTCCTCCACAAAGCTTCACTGCAATGGAACAGAAGGGGCACCGAAGCCAGAGTGACGAGGGGCAAAAGCCACCAGAGGCACTACATCTGTTTTTGTAAAGATGGGAAGAACTAAAAGACTGTGGGGAAGGAGCAAGAGAGGAAGAGGGAAAAACACAAAGGGGAGGGAATAACAGGTAGAAGAGGCTGGACGCGGTGGCTCACGCCTGTAATCCTAGCACTTTAGGGGGCCAAGGTGGGTGGATCACCTGAGGTCAGGAGTTCAAGACCAGCCTGGCCATCATGGTGAAATCCCATCTTAAAAAAACAAACAAACAAAAAAAACAGGTAGAAGAGGGGACCTAAAAGAAAGCAGAGGGGACAGGCACAAGAGCTCTTGAAAAGAATAAGAAATTGGGGAGAAAATTAGGAAATGTGTACTTTAAAGCTTCTAGAACATTCTATCAACATATAAACATATTCTTTAGATAGCCATTGGCCCTGGCTCTCATACAGCAGTCTACAGACCTCCAGATCTCCATGATGCACTGCCCATCACCAGCCACTAGATCGATGTGGCACCAAATGTGAATCAGCACCTGCGGCCCCCGGTGAAGACTCGGCCCCAGGAGGGCTGACACCACGGCACCCACCTTGCATCATACTCCTGTAGGCAGTGTCTGTGATGGCATAGATGTGAGGGGGCATCTCATGCCGCTTCTTGCCCTTGTACATTTCCACAATCTCTTCCGAGTAGATGGGCAGGTTCTTGTAAGGATTGATGACCACACAGAACAGGCCGGAATAGGTCTAAAGGAAAGAACGGCAGATAGGAATGGGTTAGGAAGTCTGATTCTCAGTAGTGTACAAACTGTGCAGCAAAATATCTGCAGCTTCAAAGGACCCCCAAGTCAGCCTGATGCGAAAGCAGTCCCCGACAGCCCTTGCTCCCAGTGCCCCAGCTCCCACAGCCCTGCTGCAGCTGCGGGGCACCAGCACCCTCCCTCTGTCCTGTCAGTGAAGGTCCTCCCTCTCCACTGCAGGAGTGCTCCAGCCTCATAGGTCAGTGAGTGTGTGTATCCACCAGGGATGGTCCATGGCCAAGCAGACGGCAGAAGTCCAGTTACAAAGCCCAGATCCGAGCACAATGAGAGATGTGTTCATCATTGTGAGAAATGCACAAAGAGAAAAGGGCTCAGCTGCAGCATAGCAAACTGTAGAAACACAAGTTATTTCACACTGAAGGATGCTGAGAGAGAGTGAAGCTTAAATCTTTCTAGCACTGAAAAACTCACTGTGTCCTAAACCAATCAGATCTTTTGTGGGCTAGTGGGTCCCTGACAAACACCTCTTTCTCTGGAATCTTCTGGAGATATTCACATGTAAATCCCTAAAAAACTTTAAGACTATTTCACATCCCCTGTGAGCCCTCTCCAAGACTTGGGTCTTCTCTGGAGGGGAACCCAATTAATCAACATCCTTAATGGGAGGCACTTAAAACATACCCAATACCCCAAGTGTTACTTGGTCAAGTTCAGAGTTGACCGGGCGAGATGGTTCACACCGGTAATCCCAGCACTTTGGGAGGCCGAGGCGGGCGGACCACCTGAAGTCAGGAGTTCGAGATCAGCCTGGCCAACATAGTGAAACCCCATCTCTACTAAAAATACATAGCAGAGTGTGGTGGCAGGTGCCTATAATCCCAGCTACTTGGGAGGCTGAAGCAGGATTGCTTGAACCTGGGAGGCAGAGGTTGCAGTGAGCCAAGACCATGCCACTGCCCTCCAGTCTGAGGGACAGAGCAAGACTCCCCCTCAAAAATAAAAAAGACCCCCAGAGGCAGATGTCCGAAGTTCAAATCTCAGAAAGGGTAAGGTTCTTAACCTCTCTCCCTCCATTTCTCAATATGAAAAATGGGGACGGGCAGAGCTCTAGACCTCACTGGGTGGTTATGAGGATTAAATGAAGTGCTTAGCACAGCCTTGGAGAGCAGCTCTGGGAAGTTCAGGACAACCATTTCCAACAGCAGCGATTTACACACATCTGTCTGTCCTTCCTCCTTGTCTTCAGGTAAATACACCTTACCTTGTGACTACCTCCGTGTCTTCAGGTAAATATACTTTATCTTGTGACTACTAGTTCTTTTTCTAATAAACTACCTGTTATTTTTTTCTCCCAAGATACCCCTTCCCCACTTTAAAAAAAAAAAAAAAAAAAGAGATTCCTAATAGCTGTGGAAGATCCCCAAGACCACCCACGTGGCAGGTGCTCAGTTAGAGGACACAACTCTCTTTAGGCAGCTGGAGTGACCCAAGTACCCTCTTCCTAAGAAAATGGGCCTGAGGGGGCTGGGCGCAGTGCCTCACACCTGTAATCCCAGCACTTTGGGAGGCCAAGGTGGGCGGATCACAAGGCCAGGAGATTGAGACCATCCTGACCAACATGGTGAAACCCTGTCTCTACTAAAAATACAAAAATTAGCTGGGCATGGTGATGGGTGCCTGAAATCCCAGCCACTCGGGAGGCTGAGGCAGGAGAATCGCTTGAACCCAGGAGGAGGAGGTTAGAATGAGTCAAGATCACGTCACTGCACTCCAGTGAGTGAGACTCCGTCTCAAAAACAAAAAAAAAAAAAAGAAAAGAAAAGAAAATGGGCTTGAGGGTCCCAGCAAAGTGAAGCCGGTGCTCCACATACGACATCACCTACAGCCCTGCCTCTGTACAGTGACAATGGAAGGTCACAAGGCACTGGGCAGAGCTGGGAGCAGACTTGGGTCTCTAATCCCAACCGCCTTGGACATGGAGGCCAGTTCTCCGAGCTCCTTCCATCTTGTTTTCTTCATCACAAGTGGCCTACACCTTCATTGTTCCTGAAGCAGCCACCATTTTAGGGACTGCACTAGGGGTCAACCCAGCCCCCTCCACCTGGGCCCTCTCAAGTCACTCCAAAACTGAGGGTGGATCTTCTGGCTGAACCCAAAGACATGGTCCACACAGGGGCCAGTCATGAAGAGAAGGTTCTTCTAAAGCACTGGCCTAAGGCTATGGCACAGGGAATTTCCAAGCAGCAATCAGGCTAAAGGCAGAACCCGCAGGCTCCCACCAACCACACAATGGTATGCATTCAAAACAGCTGAGGCCAGGCACAGGGCCTCACACCTGGAATCCAGCACTTGGGGAGGCCAGGTGAGAGAGACCAGCCTGGGCAACAAAGCAAGTCTCCATCACTATAAAAAATTTAAAAAAAAAAAAAAAAATTAGCTGGGTGAGGTGGCATGCACCTGTAGTCCCAACTACTCAAGAGGCTGAGACAGGAGGATGACTTGAGGCCAGGAGTTCGAGGTTGCAATAAGCCACGATGGCAACACTGTGCTCCAGCCTGGGTGACAGAGGGAGACCCTGTGTCTTTAAAAAAAAAAAAAAAAAAGCAGCTGAGCTTAGAAATGGACAAACATGTTTGGCTGCTTGGAAAAGAGGATGCAGGGCCCTTGATTTCCTTTCTTCCTGGGATAATTCGTCACTTGCTTTCCCTCCAACTACACTTTTCACAAGAGACCAGGAAAGCTCTGAAGCAAAGAAGTGCAAACGTAGTACTCGCAACCTGCAGGCCCGGGCATTTTGGGAGGAAGAGAAGTGGGAGCCTGTTCTGGCTTTCACTCTGAGTGAATGTCAAGAGGGGACAAGATAGAAGGCCAGGGAGCAGCAAGGTCGTCCCAGGAGCTCCGAAACAATCAAGCTTTGTTCCTGGATGCTGAGAAAGCCCACACTCTAGGAAATACAGCCCAGTAAAACCAAGGACACATGGCCGCACACTAAGGGAGTGCCACGGAGCCAGATGTGTAAAAACAGCTGGTGCTGACAGCAGAAGGGGTCTGCGGGTCATGAGGACAAGTCTTTCTGACAGCTGGGTGGGCAGATGGTCCTATGGAGTGGTCTATGGGGCTCAAAGTTCTCTGGGCTAATCCTGTCAAATCAGTGATGATGGAGCTAAGCCCAGCAGAATGAGCGCTGAGGCTCAGGTGGGAGGAAGGCGACTCACTGGAGGCTCGTGGAGGCACAGACATCAAGCCAGCAGCTCTGCTCCCACGCGGCCACGCCACGGCGCTGCTCCATTCACAGGCCACAGAGGCTCTTTGTGCCCATCCGCCCCCATCCCAGGGCCTCACCCCCTGAAGAAAAAGACAGAGCAGCTGTGGCTCAGAATTAGCCACGCCACCCACAATGCTGGGCAAACAGGCTGCGAAGGCCTCCTGAGGTCATGATTTGGAAGCTTGCGTGGAGAGACGGACCGTGAATGAGGCAGCACCCCCTGCCCAGGCAGCCCCGCCCAGGGCACTGACATCCTAATAGTTTTGTACCTGCTGAGGTCTCCACTAGAATGACTGCAAGGCCGTCAATGGGCCTCTGAGTGATGATGCTTAGAAGAAGGCTGGTGAGCCGGGCGCAGTGGCTCACGCCTGTAATCCCAGCACTTTGGGAGGCTGAGGTGGGAAGATCACGAGGTCAGGAGATCGAGACCATCCTGGCTAACACAGTGAAACCCCTTCTCTGCTAAAAATAAAAATAAAAAATTAGCCAGCTGTGGTGGCACACGCCTGTAGTCCCAGCTACTCGGGAGGCCGAGGCAGGAGAATTGCTTGAACCCAGGAGGCAGAGGTTGCAGTGAGCCGAGATCACACCACTGCACTCCAGCCTGAGCAACAGAGCGAGACTCTGTCTCAAAAAAAGAGAAGGCTGGTGAGAGGCAGGAGGAGCTGCACACCATAGGTGACAGCAAGGAGGCAAAAATGAGAGTTAATGCCTCCAGCCAAAGAGTTCTGCAGAAAAGGCATGGGCACTACCCACCACACCCACCCACAGTAAAACCCCTGCATATTGCTTGCAGAGGAAAGACACAGCCACTAACACTGAATGTATCTGAACAATGACTGCTCCTCTTCGTAGGAGGGAAAGGCAGGCTCAGGCAGGCTCAGGTGCTCCACTTGTTTCAATTCACATCCAGTGGATCCCAAAGGAGACTCCAGTTAAAAAGGCACCAATAAAAAGCCAAGCAGAAGAACAGGAGTTGCTTTCACTTGTAACAAACATTAGCAGCCTGAGTCCAGGCCCCCAGGCCGTGTACCGAGCCAGGTGCTGGCTGGGTGCTTAGGAAGGTTCCCATGGAATCCTTGCAGATGAGGAAGTGAGACTGCACCTAGCCCCATCTCATGGTAAGGGGCAGAGCTGGGATCAGAGCCAGGTCCTGGAGGCTCCAACTCTAGCACTTGAGGGCTCTGCTTTACTGTGCAGAAGCCATCTCAGCTTAGTGCCACAGCAGAGTAGGTGTGACATAAGCTATAAAGCCTGCCAAGAGGAGCGCCTCCCAATCCCAGACAGTGAGGCTACAGCTCCATGTCACCCCCGCAGACACACTGTGCTTCCTTAAAGCGCAGTCTCCCATTTATTTATTTGCAAGTCACTAATTCTGAATTTCAGTAGTTAACACTCGTTAGGGACAGGGGCTTTTAATATGGTCCACATGATGATCTCATCAAGAAACAGATGAGCTGGCAGGGAGCAGTGGCTCATATCTGTAATCCCAGCACTTTGGGAGGTCAAGGTGGGTGGATCACGAGGTCAGGAGTTCGAGACCAGCCTGACCAATATGGTGAAACCCCGTGTCTACTAAAAATACAAAAATTAGCCAGGCGTAGTGGTGCACACCTGTAATCCCAGCTACTCAGGAGGTTGAGACAGAACAGCTTGAACCCAGGAGGCAGAGGTTGCAGTGAGCCAAGATTGCACCACTGCACTCCATCTTGGGCAACAGAGTAAGACTCCATCTCAAAAAAAAAAAACCACACACCCACACACACACACACAGATGAGACATAACTGGGCTGAAAAATCAGGAACCCAAGTTCCAGCCTCAACTTGGCCAACACCTGGCTGTGTTACCCTCCTTAGGTTCCTTGCTATCTCTGGACCTCAGCAGTTCTTCCCACCTGCCATATTAGAAGGCTGGGCTATAAAGGAGACTGTTCCATATGTCCACTTGTTGATAGGTCCTTGATGAACCAGGCTCATCCCCAAAGGGTGGGCATCGATGGCAGAAAACAAGGACCTCATTGTCATGGACTGATCTAGCAATCAGCAACGAAATGCAGCCTTTGCACAGAGTCTGGTGCAGTCAGGAATTCCTGGCAAACTAGAATGGCCCACGGCTCCACTGAAGGCTGTGTAGCACAGTGCAGGGCACTCAGAAGCATGAGTCCACCTCATGGAAATGTGCTTAAGTCACTCTGAAATCAGGCAGAAAATTAAACAGCTGACCCTTTGAGACCTGCTGTCTCTGTAACAGAATGAGCCTGTCGCCACACGTCCTTTGATTACACATGTGGTCATGAGCAAAACCCCTCAGTCTGAAAGTTGGTCTTCTGATCTGTAAGGTAGGAGGGCCATAATAATCTTTTTTCTTTTTTAAATTTGAGACAGAGTCTCACTCTGTCACCCAGGCAGGAGCGCAGTGGTGCAATCTTGGCTGACTGTACTCTTGACCTCCTGGGCTCAAGCGATCTTCCCACCTCAGCTTCCAGCAAGTAGCTGGGACTACAGGCATGCACCACTACACCCAGCTAATTTTTGTGGCTTTTGTAGAGATGGGGTTTCGCCATGTTACCCAGGCTGGTCTCGAACTCCTGAGCTCAAGCAATCCTCTGGTCTTGGCCTCCCAAGGTCCTGGGATTACAGGCATGCACCACCATGCCCACCCTATAATAATCTCTTGATGGGTTTTTTCCTCTAGGTCAAAAGCATTTTGAGAACTGTTTTACTCAGCCCCAAGTTCAAGGTGGCTAGTGCAGCAAAAAGAAATAAAGAGCTATTTTAGGAATCATAACAACCAGATATTTCTTTCCCACTGGGGACAAAACCAGAAGGAAATATCTTCAAGTTGAACAGAGGAATTTCGGGTTGATATTGGAAAGGACTTTGTGATCCCAGGGCCGGTTGCCTCGGGATGTGTAAATGCTCATCTCCCCGTCTCCTAACACGGTGATGGGCTGTCTTTCTGCAAATGTAGGCTTGCCAGAAGAAAGAGAATGACCAACCCTGATCAGTTGTATAGGCTGGCCTTTCTTTGCACATGCTATTCTCTGGACTCTCCCTACACTTCCCCTTTGTCACGCCTGGCAAGGAACCAGCACTCAAGTGTTGGACGGAGTCGCAGTGCAAGTCTTACTCTTAGTGACTCACCTCTGCTCCAAGCACACTCCCTAGGGAGGCAAGCCACACCAACATGCATCTGTAAAGAACAAGAAGGGCCGGGCACAGTGGCTCACACCTGTAATCCCGGCACTTTGGGAGGCCTAGACAGGAGACTCACTTGAGCTCAGGAGTTCGAGACCAGCCCAGGGCAGCATAATGAGACCCTGTCTCTAATAAAAATATAAAACATTAGCCAGGTGTGGTGGCACAGCCCTGTAGTCCCAGCTACCAGAGAGGCTGAGGTGGGAGGGTCACCAGAGCCTGCAGTGAGCTGTGATCATGCCACTGCACTCCAGCCTGGGCAACAGCAAGACCCCATCTCAAAAAACGGCGTAGATACCAAAAATGGGATTGGGACAAAAAATGCTGAAGAGAGAGGGGATCAGGTGGTGCAAGAGGAACAAAGCAGGAAACCAGGAGATGGCACTCCCTACTTTACAAGGAATCTACTGCATTTTCAGTGCAAAAGGCTTACTGGAAAGAAATCTGAAGAGATAAAGATATTTGTTAGGCTGGGCATGGTGGCTCACGCCTATAATCCCAGCACTTCGGGAGGCAGAGGTGGGTGGAACACCTGAGGTCGGCAGCTCGAGACCAGACAGACTAACACAGAGAAAACCTATCTCTACTAAAATCACAAAATTAGCCAGGCATGGTGGCACATGCCTATAATCTCAGCTACTTGGGAGGCTAAGGCAGGAGAATTGCTTGAGCCCGGGAGGCAGGGGTTGCAGTGAGCCAAGATCACACCACTGCACTCTAGCCTGGGCAAAAAGAGCAAAACTCTTGTCTAAAAAAAAAAAAAAAGATATTTTTAAAAATAATTGAAAATTTTAAAAAGATGCCAGGTGCAGTGGCTCATGCCTGTAATCCCAGGACTTTGGGAGACCAAGGTGGGCAGGTCACCTGAGGTCAGGTGTTCAAGACCAGCCTGGCCAGCATGGTGAAACCCCATCTCTACAAAAATACAAAAATTACCCGGGCATTATGGTGGGTACCTGTAATCCCAGCTATGTGGATGCCTGTAATCACAGCTATTCAGGAGGCTGAGGTGGGAAAATCACTTGAACCCAGGAGATGGAGGTTGCAGTGAGCCAAGATCATGCCATTGCACTCTAGCCTGGGCGACAGAGCGAGACTCTGTCTCAAAAAAATAAAAAATAAAAAAAAAGATGGAATCTACAACATTGACTGAACCTTCCTATCTCCACCAAAATTTGAGGACAAAGGCCAGTGAGTGGGCATTCCTTAGACAGGGCCATATTCTTCTCCCTCCACTTGTTCTAAAACAGGCTTCCTCTTTTGTATTTGGCTGCAAAGGTTAAAGAGTAATGCTATGCGAACATCAGATGTCAAAGTTCAAGGATGTCACCCCAGCACTCCTTTGAGCCCCCTTCTCAACCACAGAGCCAGGGCCCAGGCATGTGAGGGTGATGGGAAGACCTGGCCCGCCCCCACCTCGGAGCCCCTGGCCCTGTCCTACGGGGTGCCACGGCAGCCACTTACGTAGATAAGCCCTGAGTAGTAACGCTCCTTGAGGTTGTGCAGCACTGAGGCTTCATTGAGGCACGTGAGCTCTGCCATGTCCTCCACCTTGGAGAACTTGGGCGGGTTCATCTTCTGGATGTCATCCTTGTTCACCTTCACCTTCTTCCCATTCTCCACCAGCTCCACGATGGCCTCTTCGCCCACCTCCTCCTTGAGGCTGGCAGGCTCGAAGCCACTCTTGTCGGAAGGCACCCATACCAGCTTCTTGGCAGCCCAATCGGCCTGGGCCAGCGGGTTGTTAATGAAGTTTTTATCCACATAGAGATACTTATCGGCAGCTTGCTGTGCCATGGTGACTTATAGCCAGGACCTAAGATGGGGGGAAAAAAGACAACACATTACATACAACTACATCAGCCACACAAGATCATTCATGCTCACACCTCTTCTCTTTGCAAACTTTATAGGATTAAGACGCAGTAAAATGCTATATAATCAGGCTGTACAATTTTCTTGCTCCACACTTTTGGGAGAAAAAAGATAAGCATCATTGAAAAAACAAGTTGGGCCCAGTACGGTGGCTCGAGCCTATAATCCCAGCACTTTGGGAGGCCAAGGGAGGTGGATCACCTCAGGTCAGGAGTTCGAGACCAGCCTGGCGAACATGACAAAACCCCGTCTCTACTAAAAATACAAAAATTAGCCAGGCGTGGTGGCATGTGCCTGTCATCCCAGCTACTCAGGAGGCTGAGGCAGGAGAATCGCTTGAACCCCAGAAGTGGAAGCTGTAGTGAGCCGAGATCGCACCACTGCACGCCAGCCTGGGCAATGGAGAAACGAGTTGATAGCAGGGATTTTGTTAGCAATTAATGGTAAGGTGTATCACCCTAGGGTCAATACACAATCAAACAAATCTATCAAGAAAACTATTGCCCCAATGAACATGACAAGAATCTCAAAGACAGATGCAATTCAAGTCGCTATGCTAGACATACAAAGGTAGCAAAGCAGCCACACAGTTTAGAAGGATTTCCAACAAAAACAGGTTCCTAATTAGCCAAAAAATGCAGCTGACTACAACTCCACGTGGCAGAAGTTTCCAGTTTAAAAAGCTTGTTCTTATTTCATGAAGTCAACTAAGACGCGAGAAGAAAATAAAACACCAATATATGCTGCCACTAGATTCTAATTCCATCTTGATAATACAGCCCAAAAAAAGCAAACAGAAAAGAGGCCAGGCTCCAGGAAACATGCAGAATGCTAACAGTGCTTCCCTTTGGGGACACTAGGGTCAAAAGTGACCCTCACAAAACATGGGCCAGGAGAACTTAAGTTCATGTGTGTTTGTTTTTTGAAAACTCATTTGCAAAATGAAGATATAAAATAGGCCAGGCGAGGTGTCTCAGGCCTGTAATCCCAGCACTTTGGGAGGCCGAGGCAGGCGGATCACCTGAGGTTGGGAGTTAGAGACCAGCCGGACCAACATGGAGAAACCCGTCCCTACTAAAAATACAAAATTAGCCGGGCATGGTAGCGCATGCCTGTAATCCTAGCTATGCGGGAGGCTGAGGCAGGAGAATCACCTGAACCCGGAGGGTGGAGGTTACAGTGATCTGAGATCATGCCATTTCACTCTAGCCTGGGCAACAAGAGCGAAACTTTGTCTCAAAAAAAAAAAAAAACAAAGACATAAAATAATAATGCATTATATCTGTGTGGTTTTATAGTTTATGAAATGCTTTCACACATATTTCACTGTCTTATCCACCACCTCATCTAACTGGCAACCACCCTGGAAAAGAGATCTCTCATCAAACCCAATCCATAAACCAGGAAACAGGCTCAGAAAGGGCAAGTCACTTGCCCAGAGCTGCCCAGCCTAGTCATGGAGTGGGAAGGTCTTTGTCATAACAACTCTGTAAACCTGGAAAGATATATATTACTATCACCATTTTACAGATGAGGAAACATGCTCCCTGGATGTAAGGAGTTTCTCCGTAGTCATCCAGTCCTGTGGCCTTTCCACTGCAAACACAGCAGTTACACCAACTCAGAGACGCAGGCTGGGATCACCAGAGATGACTACTCTAGTATCAAACAAGCTCAGGCCGTGGCCACCAGAGGAAGCAGCCCAGAAGCTCACTGCGCAGCTTTCCTTGTGAAATCAAGGAACATCAGGAAGGCTTTTCCCTCTGTGAGCTCAAGCCCCCTCCCCTCAGGCCCCTGCAATCCAGGAAGTCCCCAGATCCCAATAAGGAATACCATGGGCTTTTGCACTTCCAGATTCCAAGAGGGACTTGGATGCCAAGGAGGCTGGGCGCACGGCAGGGAAAGAACAAAAGGCAAAGTCTGGGCTGCCCAGACCTTTTCATCTGAGCTCATTAAGTGGTTTTCAGACAAGGCTAAGGGGCTGCCCTGGACTCATTCCAGAAGGGGCTGTTTTCCAGGAAAAAACCTGTTTGCTGGCTCCCTCCCGCCAGGAGGGACACAAGTGCCAGAAGCAGAGCTTGGCAGCCTCACCAGCTTCCTCTGTTGACATTCCCAGCACAGGCAAACCCCACAGACCCTTGTGAGGACCACGGGCACAGCCACCCTGCAAGGACCACCCTGAGAGAAGGCAAGGCCCAGAGTCAGTCGGAGTAAACAAGGCAGGAACAGTGGCTGTGACTGCCTGGCTGCCCCTTGTCTTTGCTGAGGGTCTAAGGTCTAGGGTCTACACCAGGAGCAGCCCCCAGGGCACCGCCAGCTTATTTTCAGCTGTCTGCACTTCCACCCTGGCCAGTCCATTCAAGCAAATCCAAGAATTTTCCCTGCCAGGTAAATGCTAGTTGTTCTTTGCCTCCCTACCATGTGTCTGACACTAACTAGTCAATGGGCACCCCCAGCGTCCCAGCACCCAGGCTCCCCGGAGTCTCCCCATCATGTCCCTGCCCTGCTCAAGACCATGCGGCAATCACAGAACGCAGGTGTCAGGGGCTGGTTTTCAACCTTTTCATAGACCCCAAACTCACGATGGATAACTCCATCAATAGCAGAAGGAGACTCACTTGAACCCAATGCCCCCAAATCCTAAGTCTGTCGCATGACCCCGCAAATGAAGTTATCTGAGGACATCGCTGCCCCTCATGAGACTCCTACCAAGAGCAAATGGGGCAGGGGACAGTTACTAAGTACATCCCAGCACCAAGTTGTTTATTCACCACCTCACCTAACTGGCAACCACCCTAGAAAAGAGCTCTCTCATCATCCACAAATCATAAACTAGAAAACAGGATCAGAAAGGGCAAGTCACTTGCCCAGAGTTGCCCAGCCCAGTCATGGAGTAGGACGCTAACCCAGGGACGCCGGGCCCCTGTGCCTGGCCTCTTCCCAGAACCTTGTGCCTGGGATCCCTTGGAAGTCAGGCCTGCACTGGAGCTGGGCCATAACTGTCCCCATGAGCTGAGTGTGACATGGGGAATGGAGTGGAATGCATCCCAGAGCATTCAACAAATATTTACAGGAGGTTGTTAGGCAGGCAGGAAGGCTGAGTGAGCCTTCCCAGTGTGGACCACGTGGCCCCTCAAAAAGCAGGCACGTTACAGCTCACCATTCACTCCCTCGGCCCGATACTATTAGCAGCAAGCTTGCAGCCTATCAGCAAGGGCAGAATGAGGTCTGGCCTTCCTCAAACTCTGCTTCACCCCTGCAATGCCAACCCTAACAGAAAGAATCCATCTGATAGCCTGGATTCTCGGCAGCCCATGGGCTCCCTCAGGCTGCAGGCCCCAGGCACTCAGACTGTCCTGGAAATCCACTCTGGAGGGTCGCAAACATCACACCAGCTGGTAGGGAGTAACTCTACCCAACCAACCACCCTCAGAACCTCACCCTGACTGACTTTCAGGCCTCAGTGGGAGGGCAGGCGATAGTCACAGGCCAGTGGTATCCCCACGAAGGCTAGCAGAGGCCTGGCAACCAAGCCATTGTTCTTGCAAGAGGATGGGAGAATGCATCCCCCCAAATCCACCCCCCACCTCTAAAGACCAAGGCTCCCACTGAAGGTCACAGACTCCACTTGCCTGGATACCTCCCTCCCAGCAGAACTTCTCATTAAGCAAGGCTGGGCTCTGCTCGGCCTAGCCAAGGACGGGGCTATTTGGTTTCAGCAACTCCGCTGGAATGACGTAGGGCAGCAGCAGCGCCAAGACCAATACATGGGCTAGACCAGCAGGGAGAGCTGCAAAGGTCAGGATAAACAGTGGAGTTTCTATGAAAGCCCCCTGGCCCACCTGGGCAGGCTAAGCCACATTCAATGATGGGCGGGCCACAGGGCTGCAGCTGAGCTGTTGTTTCCACCTGTATCCAGTGAGGAGGCTCCTGTGCCCCTGGGGGCGTGTGTGTGGGTGTGTGTGCATGTGCGTGTGTATAAGTGTGTTCAGTCAGGTTAATACCCACCTCTCCAGGATGCACGTGGGTTAAACCACCTTATCTATAATCCATATGCCTCATTTATGAATGGGGGATAGTAAAGAGCTACTAAAAATTCAATAAGGGGCACGACAGCAGGATACATGGGGTGTGGGGGGCAGTCTATCCAACACAGTAGCCAGCATGCAGCCACTCCTGCCTACTCCGTTCTGGGGCCGTGCTAAACGGCCTCTGTGAAAACTTTTTTTTTTTTTTTTTTAGACGGAGTCTCACTCTCTCACTCTGTCACCCAGACTGGAGAGCAGTGGCGCGATCTCGGCTCACTACAACCTCTGCCTCCTGGGTTCAAGCAATTCTCCTGTCTCAGCTTCCTGAGTAGCTGGGACTACAGGTGCCCACCACCATGCCCGGCTAACTTCTGTATTTTTAGTAGAGACGGGGTTTCACTATGTTGGCCAGGCTGGTCTCAAACTCCTGACCTCAAGTGATCTGCCCTCCTCGGCCTCCCAAAGTGCTGGGATTATAGGCCTTAGCCACCAGGCCTGGCCTCAGATTTGCTTGTTACTCAATTTTTACAGGTGATGATGCAGCAGTAGCCTTGGAGAAAGTAACTCTACTCAGTCACACAAGCTGGGGAACGAGGACTTGAACTTAGAACTCCTGAACCTAAGGCCTCACTGTCAATCATTTAGTGGCTGCATCATATTCTCAAGTGGCTTTTTTAAGGACCACTTATAAGGTTTTTTCAACCTCTTATCTAGTATACCTTTTTGAGACAGAGTCCGGCTCTGTCACCCAGGCTGGCGTGCAGTGGCGCAATCTGGGCTCACTGCAACTTCCACCTCCCACGGTCAAGCGATTCTCCCGCTTCAGTCTCCTGAGTAGCTGGGATAAAAAGCGCCCGTCACCATACCCAGCTAATTTTTCTAGTTTTAGTAGAGACAGGGTTTCACCATATTG